CCGGTGTGGGTGAACTACGGTGAGCTCACCAGTTCTCTCTTTCCATATCTTTCCTGTCCTTAGAAACTGACATTAGTGTGATGATGATGGAACTTTTTGTCTCTGCACTCTGCAGCTTTGGGTGTCTTGGACGTGGTTGGGGTACTGGTCTTTGAAATAGGCGGGATACTATGTTGCATCCGCATAGCCCGCCAGTTTAATCCAGCTGCTGCATGAGGTGGCCGCTGTGAATCATGCAGGTTGCCAGCAATAATGGAATAGTGCTTGAGCCTACGTCCGCCGGAGGAAAACATAAGTACTGACAGCTCTACCTCTGCCCATGTTCGGCGTGAACAGTTTGCTGGTTCGATTTTTCCCTGCCCATGTTCTAATGTTCATGTGATTTTGATCTATCTGCGGAACTGGTAGCACCAAACATTAGTCACGACACGAGTCCACGATGCCTGCCCTGATGAGCTTGTTCAGTGGTTTGTCTAATTTCCTACTCTGCACGCAGTGGGCAGGCAGCGCCCGACGGCCGTGATAGAATCAACACATGAGTATCTTCACCCAACAGCTTAATTAGTTCATCTGGGCCGTGAGAGAATCATCGGAACGCCGGTTGTCAGGCAACCATGCACAGCCCAACTACGGAAAAAAATTAAGTGGAGACCGACCGCACCCAGCAACGTACGGACGTCCAACCAATTTGCACCACGTGGAAAAAAAATTTAGGAGCTCTTGTCAGATTAACAGGTCCACTGGCCGGAATAAGTCTGGAGTCCGCACGATGCTGCATGCGGATGGGCCGCATGCAATTTTTTCCCCAACTAAGCCCAGCCGTACCCAGTGTTCGCTGACGTCTGGCGCCAAGTCAGCGAACCTTCCGGGCGGCGGCGTCCGGTCTCGACCTGGGCACGGGAAACTACTTGGTGAGCCGTGCGTTTCATACTGCTACCGGCAGAACGAGCCGCTCTTCAGGCCGGCCAAGTCGTCCACGTACGCCAACATCTCGTGCTCGTCGTCCTACTTCTTTGTAATGTGCAGGAGTTCCGGTTTGGGTGCGGTGAGGAGAGCCGCGGGCTGCTCGGGCGATCAGCGGGGCTGACGGGCCTCGGCCGCGGCAATACGTCGCTGACGGTGCAGGCGTACGACAAGTACATGGGCGTGTTCTCGTACTGCCTCCCGGCGACGTCGTTCGTCACTGGGTTTCTGGACATCGGTCCAGGCGCGCCGGCGGCGAACGCGCGCCTCACGCAGATGCTGACCGACAAGGGACCGACGTTCTACTACGTGGGGCTCACACGGACATCAAGGTGGACGGGCGCCTGCTGTCCATCCCGGCCGGACTCCGGCCCCGTTCGCGTGTCCTTAAACCTGGCTTGATCCATTTTTTTTTCATCCGAAACAGTGTTTTTCTCTCACAAATTCCTACAGCATTCCTCTAAACCATCCAAATTCCTCCAGAATTACTCCAGCCGAACACCCCCTCCGTCTTCTCTGCCGCCGGCGCGCTCGTGGACTCCGGCACGGTGATCACTCCAAATTATGGTGACCACATGTTCATGAATATTACGAGAATTTCTGAGGGTTTATTTTTTTTTGTAACGCGTCTTTGTGAGGGTTAATGTGGAGCCTCTATTGAGGCCCTATTTGGCATGCCTTCAGATGGCTCTAGCTCCCGTGCACGGAGGAGGCATAGTCTGAGGCAGGAAAGCCAAAAAATAGTGTCTTTTGGCTCCTAGTTTATTTTGAGATAAGACAGAAAAAACGGATCTCCGCTACAGTGCACAGAGGAAACAAAGCCGAAGTAGTCCAGAGTTCTACCAAATGGGGCTTCAGTGTCTCCAGTTAGTAAGGTAGTATGCATTGTCATCTTTTACATTGCACTTATATTTTTAGTTAAAACTTGCTTACGTCATATGATTTCTTATTGTATTTTAAAATCTTGAATCTATAGGCTTTCACTTTTGAAAGTCTTAGTTGTTGTAACTTTTTATCCACTTGTCGATCGAGTTAAAACTCTAATTCTTATTGTATGCTTTATTCAAAATTTTTCTTTTGTTTTTATTTAAAATATATTTGAGATTCTAGACTACACTCTTAATTACTATAGTTACATACAGTCGTTTAAGCCTCATTTAAGATTTCCTATATTGAATAGTTGCATGCATGTGTAGTAATATTGTTCTATAAAACATATAGTGCATAAATTACATTGCTAATATTAATATGTCATAACGTTTTTGTCAAAATCTATGCACTCGACTAAAATAACAACTTACAAATTTATTGTCAAAGGGGTACTGATATATAATTTAAAGAAAATTGCCTATATCATTGTTATGTTGTTTGTTAAGAGAACATTTTTCACTATTGACATACTATTAAAATAAATATTTATCCTAATGTATGCATGTGTTTTTTGGTCTACATGGTGGAACATAGCATTCGTACTTGCTTTTTAATTTAAATTTAACATGGTAGAAGTGTGTAGTTTTAAAACATATATAGTATACTTTATGCTTATTGATTTTTTTTGTAATAGCTTATACATATATCTAGACATAATTACAGAAATAATTCTGTTTATTCCTTACAACGGTAGAAGTGGGTAACTTAGATAGATACAAATTAAATGAAGTTACTTTATATTATCATTGATAATGGCATAAGCTTCTCCCTCTGCTCTATATTTTACCCAAATAAGAGCAGCGGTAAATTACTCATTGTTGTACGCGCCTAATGGAAATAAACCTGTAAATTGTTCTGAACTTTGCAAGTCCAGGTACATCTATTTTATCGCAGTAACATTTCACTTCTTTTCAAAAATGACGATAGTGACATACTATAAGAGATCAAAAAAAGTGGCAATGAATAGAACTATAATTTTCAATGGCGTATAAAGGACGACTATAGTTTTATATGGCACACGGAGAATTGTCTTCCATCTATGTGTCATGATAGAAGCAGATGATTTAGCACAGCCGATCCATTAATTTTTTTTTTTTTTGGAACGAATAACACATCCGAGCCATGCATAGAGAAGCAGATGATCTCATAATAAAAGGGGAAATGTACGAGTACGCAAAGACGATGGGGGGAAATCGAGCAGCATACCAAGGCTCACACAGCACGCGATTAGTGACACCGTAAAGCATGTGGACTGACCGCCTTGGCTCCGGATGATCGGCCGGTGACCACACCAACTCACCACTCACAAGGCAATTCGCAATGGACTCACGCACCAGCACAACTTTCCGAAAATGGCAAGATGCAGTACGTACGGCGTACGGGCCGTCCGTCCTTTATGTCTTCAGATTCAGACTGTGTGTGAAGGGAGAGAAAGAAGATAGCATATGCACCTTCCTCGAAGCTTCCGGTTGATGATGGCTTGCTTGCACTTTTACTGTATTATTACCCTTTGCCTTTGGGCATGCAAATAGAGCGCTAGCCAATATATAGGCCATTGAAACGTCGACGTTGGTTGCGGATTTGTGAAAAACGTACTGGACGCACTTGATGTTGTTTGCGGCATGTGCTGATGGTGGATAGCCTTATCTCCGTCCCATCTGACTCATGGTTTGTGCCCCAAGCTTGGGCCCTTGTCACGATGAACCATTTGCTCGTGAACCTTTCATTCCGTTCACACGTACGTCGCTCGATTCCACTAAGGCCTCGTTCGTTTGTGCAAGGTTGAAAGCATGCCTGTTTCTATTCCTGGGCCGGATCGAGTGAATCCGGGTGGTTCACTGAAACCTGGTCACCAATGGTTCTCGCGTCGTACCTCGCGCCGCCTCCCTCCAGGATCCGATCCGGAGGGTAGGAGGTGTGGCTTTGTTCCGGGCCGTGGAGGGAGCAGAATGGCCAAACCTGGCCAGTTTCCTTTCCGGGCCGTATCTAACCGAACGACCAATCCTGGTCCGACCTGACTTCGATTTTTTTTCCCTTTGTTGTATAGCGCGCGTTCCGGGCCTTTCCAGGCCAAAACGAACGAGGCCTAAAGAATTTGTTCAGATTTTTTTTTTCTTTCCCTTTGTTGTATAGCGCGCTGCCTTCAAATCAAAAGAAGGCAAACACTTTACGTTAAGGAAAAAAAGGGCAAACACACATAAGATTTTTTTTAAGGAACCAAACACACATAAGAATTAGCGAGTTGATGAACTACGTACACGTTAAGTTTCTCAGTTTGAAGTCTGGACAGCATCAAACGCGATGGTAGCCTGGAAAGCACAAATAATCTCCGTTGATAGCACACTAGATCATCGCTACTACTAGGAGGAGGAGTAACAGTACGTCTAACAGAACAGGAGTCGCAGCACATGCAGATGTGGGTCCCCAATCTGTCGTGGACAGTAGTGGACGACGTCAGGATGAGATGAGAGGAGTCGCGGACGCGCACCTCCACTGCAAATAACCGCCCCCCGCCGTCGATGGGACATGGGAGAATCCAATCCAACGCGTCCCTGCGACGTGCAAATGCATCGTGCGAGGAAGATGCCGTCCATTACAGCCGTTCTCCGTTACGGGACGCGGGAGAGGTGGGGAGAACTGGGAAGTGGGAACGCACAAAATTACAATGCGATCTCCTCATAGCTGGTTTTGTTACGAGGAAACACACAAAGCCCTTTTCGCAAACAGATAGTAATTTCCTTTCACGTATTACCGGATCAATCGCAGAGATTTACGTACGGCATAGGGACCACCCCACGATCGACGGTCACGAACCCCCTGTGGTTGCTTCCACGGCCACAGGGCACAACAACTAAGCAGAGCCAGCACAGATCGTTCTCGTTCCCCCTCCGCCGCCGCCGGCTAAACCCCAATTCGATCTCCTTCCTCCTTCCCGAGTCTCAACCTCCTTTCCCAGCCTATATATCCGCGGCGCCTCCCCAATTGCTGTTAGATCTACCCAAAACAAACCCTCGTTCAATTCCAATCGCGCAACAACAGCTCGTGTCTCTTCTCCAACAGATCGATCCGATCCCCTCCCCTCCCCTCCCGCGCCTATCGTCTGTGAGATGGCGAGCTTCAGGGTCGCCGACGCGTCGGAGTACCTGGCCATCACGGGCTGGGGCATCGACGACGTGAAGCTGGCGAAGAAGGCGTGGGTGTTCGTGGGCCAGCAGTGCAAGAAGTTCGACATCACTCCGGTCAACTACGAGTTCGAGGTGCACGCCATGAGCTCGGAGAAGCTCCCTTCATCCTGCCCGCCGTCTTCACCATCGGGCCCAAGATCAGCGACGACGGCAGCCACGGAGCCTCCCTGCTGCTCTACGCCAAGCTCATCGCGCCGCACGACAAGAACTCGTCCCACGTCCGCGAGCTCGTCAGGGGCGTCATCGAGGGCGAGACGCGCGTGCTGGCGGCGTCCATGACCATGGAGCAGATCTTCCAGGGCACCAAGTCGTTCAAGCAGGCGGTGTTCGAGAACGTGCAGCTGGAGCTCAACCAGTTCGGCCTCTACATCTACAACGCCAACGTCAAGCAGCTCGTCGACGTGCCCGGGCAGGAGTACTTCTCGTACCTGGGACAGAAGACGCAGCAGGGCGCGGTGAACCAGGCCAAGGTCGACGTCGCCGAGGCGAGGATGTTGGGCGCCGTCGGGGCCAAGGAGCGCGATGGCACGACGCTGCAGAAGGCTGCCGAGGTCGACGCGCAGACCAAGGTCTTCAGGGTGCGACAGGAGGCCATCGGGATCAAGGAACAGGCCAAGGTGGAGGCCGAGGTCAAGGTGTTCGAGAACGAGAGGGAGGCCGTCGTCGCCGCCGCCAAGGCGGATCTCGCCACCAAAGAAGGCGGCGTGGGACAGACAGACCAAGGTCGCCGAGGTCGAGGCTTCCAAGGCCGTCGCCATACGAGAGGCCGAGCTCCAGATGGAGGTGGAGCAGAAGAACGCGCTGCGCCTCACCGAAAAGCTGAAGGCGGAGCAGCTCAGCAAGGCTACGGTGCAGTACGACGTGCAGGTACCCGCCGTCTGGCCAATTTCAGTTTCGTTTCGAGAACATGCATTGCATTGTGATTTTCGAATCTCAATTCCATGTTGTAATATTGCAGTTTTCAGTTTCGGAGAAAGTGCATTGCGATTTTCGAATCTCAATTCCATTTTGTGATAGTGCAGGTCCAAGACTCTAACGCCGCGCTCTACAGCCGGCAGAAGGCCGCGGAGGCCAAGCTGTACGAGCAGCAGAAGGCCGCGGAGGCCCGCAAGGCGCAGGCGGACGCCCAGTTCTTCGAGCAGAAGCTGGCCGAGGACGCCAAGCTGTACGCCAAGCAGAAGGAGGCGGAGTCGCTGGCCACGGTGGGCAAGGCGAAGGCGGACTACGTGGCGGCGATGCTGCAGGCGCTGGGCGGCAACTACCACGCGCTCCGCGACTTTCTGATGATCGACGGAGGCCTGTACCAGGAAATGGCGCGCATCAACGCCGGCGCCGTGAGCGGGATGCAGCCCAAGATAAGCATCTGGACCGGCGCGGACGGCGCGGGCGCGGGCGCGGGCGGTGACGTCGGCGCCAGCAGCAGCGGCGGCGCCGCGATGCAGCAGGTGGCCGGCGTCTACAAGATGCTCCCGCCGCTGCTCTCGACGGTGCACGAGCAGACGGGGATGCTCCCGCCGGCGTGGATGGGCGCGCTGCCCAAGGACGAGGCCAACTGAATCGGCTACTACTGGTGCGCTACATGGCTGATGTGGCATTGGTTGTCTTATTAGCGTCTCTTGATTGGTCGTTTAGTAGTCGTTCGTGAAGGTTGGTTAGGGTTAAGTTCTTGATTGGTCATTTTCGAGTCAGTTCGTGAAGTTTGGTTGGGGTTTAAGTGACATGACATATAGTTAGATGCATCATCTATCTGGCACCTCTGGGTGTTCTGTGAACTCAGGTTTTTTTTTATGGAAGTTCTGTGAACTCGGATAATGCTGGTTGTGATATTGTCTCGTCTATATATTTCTGGTGGTGGTGCTACTAATTGGATTGCATCATATCTCTCAGAATCTGTATATGTTCATGCTCGAAGCAAAACAATTAAGCTTGTGGTTGGGGTAAATGTGCTGTTTGTACTGATCAATACGCGGCGCTGTGCTGCTTTTGTGTGTTGCTGCGGCCAGCAACTGGCGCTGTGCTTTTTGTGTGTTGGTGTCGCTGGCTATTGGCTTGCTGCTGGTGTGTTGCTGCTCTGTATGTTTCTGCAGGCAGAGGCGCCTTGTGTCCCTGTGCCTCGTTCCTGGGCACACAGATGCTTGCTGTGCCAGTGTATCCGGTCTAGGGTGTCGTTACTGTGTTGACTGTTTTTCACCGTCGTTTTTCGCCGTCGTGGCCTTAGTAGCACCGTAACCTAGCTGCTAGCTGGTGTGGAAAAAGCGGGCACTGTACCCGTAGCGCGGTAGCGAGGGGGTGTTTAGTTCAACCTCGATTCCGAATTTTGACACTATGTAAAAAGAAGATTTCCCGTCACATCAAATTTACGGTACATGTATGGAGTACTAAATGTTGACGAAATCAAAAACTAATTACACAGTTTGGTTGTACTTTGCGAGACGAACGTTTTGAGCCTAATTAGTGAACGATTAGACAATTATTACCAAATAAAAACAAAACGTCACTGTAGCTACAGTGTAGCTACAGTGACCTCGGCGGCGCCGATTCGACCGAACTAAACGTGGCCCGAGTTTGAGTGCTGTGTGACAATCACCCGCATCCGCGCATATCCGTCTCGTCAGAGCTTAAGTTGTCTCGTTGACACTTGACAGGTGAAATTTGCGTTTCTTAAAAGCATGAAAGCGCAAGTACTACAGCTAAACCGGAGTGGACACGAGAAGCTAAGAGCTAGCATAGTTCTAAAAAAACAATTACTCCTAAAAATAAAAGACAATTTTACACTAGAAATCATAATCATTTTCAAATCACCCAACCACTTTTATACTTTCTTTATCGCTTGTACTTTGCATTAGAAACCTTGTTTTTTTATGGAAACATTAGAAACCTTGTCCTTACACCTTACTCTTATTCCTCCCCACGTCTTTCTACCTCTAGACTAGATTGGGATTTTTTCCGTATTAAGATTGGGAGTTGAGATATGAAGTTGTTGGAGAGCGTTTTTTTAATCTTATCAAAAATCAAGATTGGAAATGGATTTTGAAAACCCTCGGAGATCTCTAACCCCGCACTGAGTTGAGGCTTTGCTACCTGTGAACTCCAAGGGACCGATCCTTCATACAATTCATGTTCTAGGTAAGTCTTACAGATTGATTTGAGAGAAAATAGCAGTTGCTATGAGAATGTCACCTATGTCAGAGATTTGGACTCACGGGTTGTGCTACCCCGGTACCTATTCTCCTTGCACTACGGGAAACAAAGCCTTTACCTAGTGTTAAAAATCGGGCTTCTTTGCCGAGTGTCGCACTCAGCAAAAAAATTATATTTGATAAAGAATTTTTTGCCGAGTGTCGGACACTTGGCAAAAAAGGACACTCGGCACAGGCTGCCCCGCGTAACGGTGTTCGACCACGTCCTTCTTTGCCGAGTGCCTGCTGTTAGGCACTCGGCAAAGATTTTTTTTTTGAAAAATACTTTGCCGAGTGCCCCTGACACGGCGCTCGGCAAAGATTCAATTTTTTTTTCAAAATGTCTTTGCCGAGTGGCTAACAGCTGCGGCACTCGGCAAAGGGAGGAATTAAAAAAATTACATTTTTTTGAATTACCTTTGCCGAGTGCCCCTGTGAAGGCACTCGGCAAAGACCCCATTTGCCGAGTGCCATGTCCCGGCACTCGGCAAAGTTTTTTTATTTTTTTTTTGTTTTTGGCCTCCAATTTTTTTGTGCACCTCTTTTTAAGTATCAGGAACTCCTCGTTAGAATTTGGGGATTTTTTTGTGACTTTTTGATATATTTAGTTACTTTATATCGTTTACTTGAATTTTTCCAAAAAATATAAATTTGAACTGCACGTGGTACGAATAATGAAATTTAATGATTTAAAAATGATAGTCATATTCTTGAGTGTAGTGTGAGGCCGTATCCGAGAACGGACCCAAAATTTCGGACATCTTGTTTATTAAAACATGACCGCGAACTTGCATGCAAGTTTTTTAAATTCTATAAAAAAGCAAGCGAAGTCCGAAAATCATGAAACTTGTTGAGATGTCGTGATAACGCATGTGGAGGCTATGATAAAATTTGAGAAGGTTTGACGCAAAGTTGTCACGTCACGATGCTTGCAAACCGAAGAATCTCCAAAAAGTTTTGTGATTTGGTGAAGAGACCGACGAGATGGTAAGCATCGTACGTGACAACTTGCGTGAAACCTTCTTAAATTTTTATTACAGTCTCCACATATGATATCATGACATCTGGACAAGTTTCATAATTTTCGGACTTCGTTTGCTTTTTATAGAATTTAAAAACAACTCGACCGCAAGTTCGTGGTCATGTTTCGTGAACAAGATGTTCAAAATTGATGGTCTGTTCGTGGATACGGCCTCACATTACACTAAATAACATGAATATTATTTTTCCATTAATTTTTTTCATTATTCGAATGACTAGCAGTTATAATTTGAATTATCCAAGAAAATTTAATTAAATGAAATAAATTAAAGAAATATAGAAAAAGTCCGAGGAATGTGCCACATTGGAACATGGAGTACCAGATATTGTATGAGGATTGCAGAAAAAGTTTGGATGTCAAAAGTGAAAAAAATATGATTTGCCGAGTGTCAGGAGAAGACACTCGGTAAAGGAGCCTCTTTGCTTGAAAGTGCCGGGGCGGTCGACACTTTCGACAAAGTTTTTTAAATTTTTTTTAAAAACCCCTCTTTGCCGAAAGTGTCGTACAGCTTGGCACTTCGCAAAAAGAATTTAAAAAAATTTAAAAACTTTGCCGAGTGTCGAGATGGGGCACTCGGTAAATAATTTTTTAAAAGAAACTCTCTCGGCCAAGTGCCGATGAGTTGACACTGACGACAAAAATTAAAACAAATTTAAAAAAAAAACTTTCTTGAGTGGCGATGGGGGCGGTCGGCAAGGGTGATTTAACTTACCAGCCCGCCCGCACACAACAAGCCACACGCACTCCCTTCTCCGGCGTCGCGGCCGAGGCTCGACACGGCGGCGGCCCGGCGCAGCTCGACGCGCAGCCCGCTTAGCTGAGGCCATGGCCGGCCCGGCTCGCGTTCGCCGCCAAGACAACGAAGCGACAAGCGGCGCGCTCCTCCAGCAGCGCCTCCTGCGGCGTCGACACACCAGCGTGACCGACGGAGACCTCCACCGCGTCGACCTCGCCGGTGGCCTTGTGGCGTCCTCATCACTGGGCGTCGACCTCGCCCGGCAGCCACAGGCGTGCCCTCCTCCGGTACCCCAGCCAGCCCTCTTCCCATGGCGAGATCCGGGCGAGGGCTGGTCCACGACGAATCCATGGAGGGGGCCAGTCCGGAGCTCCCGTCGTGGCGTTGACGGACACCTCCAAGCATGGTAGGGGGCGCTGTCCCTATGGACAGCCCGGCGGCCTTCTGCCATGGTGGATATAGGACTGGGCAGGCCTCGTCCCACGAGGAGGCACGGATTTGGTGATTCTCTCTTTTCTTTCTAGTGATAATTGATTCTAAATCTCTGGTTTCCTTTCTGACATATAGATCTCGCAAATATCGTAGGAAAGTTCATAATATAAAATCTCGTAAATATTATTAGCTCCCACAAGTTATGGTAAATTACTGAAGGCATTCGATCTCTAATTATCGTAAATAGTTTCTCGTAATTACTGAAGACATTCTCTAATTATCATAACCAACTGTACACGTTACGGTAACTATATTATGGTACTCGTTCAACCTGGAGGCCACTCCCATCGGATTAGCACAGATTATTCCTTTAGAATATATTATATATGTGAGTACTATTGCTTCACTGTATACGTATTTCGATTTTCCTTCTAGAATTGTCTCATGAATGCTGACAACAATGACAATTAGTTCATGGTGGTCTTGACATATGATTTGCTTAATCCATATAATGTGCGACGACTCAAGTGCATATTCGGGCAGACGAGCAGCTTCTGCTGGTCCAATTCGTGTTATAGATGATCCGTACCTTTTTTTATCTTCCAAGTGATTTACTGATTCTTATTTTGAGTAGATCTTGATGAAAAATCCCTCGGTGCCTGTGTGCGAGTCTCTGCACACCTGGGCTGCATGCATCTATGACCTATACCAATTTGCTAGCTGATCTTGCGATTTCTATTGCTGCTATTCGTCAGTCTTGATTAAAAAATTGGTTTCTAGTTTTACCCTCAAGCACCCAACAGATTACTACCCCAACACATTTCTATTGCTAATATACAAGTTTGGCTCTGCAGAAACTGTACAGTATAGATAAGATCGATTATTTGGGCTCTTACATTCTGAATATCGTGATACAATGTATTAGAGAATTGTAGTTAATTTGCTTATGCTTCCAAAGAGTTCTATACTCATATTTCATATCGTAGGGTGCCGCGAAGCGTGCAAAAGTTTCTAGTATGTTTAGAGCAGCATGTTAGGTTTGTGGTTTTTAAAAATGCAGATCATAAGCTACTCCCAACAGTACGATTTATATGACATAAAAATGCATATCTAGGTGATTTGATTTTTTTCTTTGTCGATATCATTACAGTATGATCCTTGAGTCAC